GACCCACAGCAATGTGGTTGACTCAGAAATGGCCTAGCAAGCCACTCAGTTGTACCAATTGCTACAACGTCTCAAAAAAAATGAAATCGGACGGATCACCTGGCATCAACCTAGGCACTGGAAAAGACAAGGGCAGAAACAGCCCCGTCAAACCTGCAAAATCCTCTTCGTTAACATCTAGGGACTGGTGCCAAAATTGGGACAGCTGTTTCACAGACGAGTTAAGCAACAGCCTGACATAGTGGTACTAACAGAATCATACCTCACAATGTCGCAGATACCACCATCACCAGCTAGTCTTGTCCCACCGGCAGGACAGACCGAGCAGAGGTGACAACACAGTTGTACACAGTCGGGAGGGAGTTGCTCTCGGACTCCTCAACATTGACTTTGGACCCCATGAAGTCTCACGGCTTCAGGTTAAACATGGGCAAGGAAACCTCCTGCTGATTACCACATACCGCCCTCCCTCAGCTGATGAATCAGTACTCCTCCATGTTGAACAACAGTTAGAGGAAGCACTGAGGATAGTAAGGGCACAAAATGTACTGTGGGTGGGAGATTACGTATATCACCAAGAGTGGCTCGGCAGCAGTACTACTGATCGAGCTGGTTGGGTCCTAAAGGACATAGCTGCGAGACCGGGTCTGCGGCAGGTGGTGAGGGAACCAACAAGAGGGAAAAACATACTTGACCTCATCCTTACCAATCTGCCAGCTGCAGTTACATCTGTCCATGACAGTATTGGTAAGAGTGACCATCGCACAGTCCTTGTGGAGACAAAGACCCACCTTCACATTGAGAATAACTTCCATCGTGTTGTGTGGCACTATCGATGTGCTAAATAGGCAAGACTTCGCATGGATCTAGCAGCTCAAGACTGGGCATCCATGAGGTGCTGCCACCAACAGCAGCAGGATTGTACTCCAGCACAATCTGTAACCTCGTGGCCCAGCATATTCCCCCATTCAACCATTACCATCAAGCCAGGGGATCAACCCTGGTTCAACGGAGAGTGCAGGAGGGCATGCCGGGAGCAGCACCAGGTATATCTGAAGATGAGGTATCAACCTGGTGAAGCCACCAAACAGATCTGCTTGCACGCCAAACAGCAAAAGCAGCAAATGATAGACAGAGCTAAGCGATCCCACAACCAACAGATCAGATCTAAGCTCTGCAGTCCTGCCACATCAAGTCGTGAATGGTGGTGGACAATTAAACAACTCACTGGAGGAGGCGGCTCCACAAATATTCCTATCCTCAATTATGCAACAGCCCAGCACATCAGTGCAAAAAATAAGGCTAAAGCATTCGCAGCAATCTTCAGCCAGAAGTGCTGAGTGGATGATCCATCTTGGCCTCCTCCAATGGTCCCCAGTATTACAGATACCAGTCTTCAACGAATTTGATTCACTCCACATGATATCAAGAAACAGCTGGAGACACTGGTCACTGGTCAAAGGCTACAGACCCTGACAATATTCTGGCAATAGTGCTGAAGGCTTGTGTTCCAGAACTTGCAGCTCCCCTCGCCAATCTGTTCCAACGGTACAGTTACAACACTGGTATCTACCAGACAATGTGGAAAATTGCCCAAGGATGTCTTGTACACAAAAAGCAGGACAAATCCAACCCGGCCAATTACCGCCCCATCAGTCTCCCCTCAATCATCAGTAAAGTGATGGAAGGTGTCAGCAACAGTGCTATCAAGCAGCACCTGCTCAGCAATAACCTGCTCAGTGACGTCCAGTTTGGGTTCCGCCAGGGCCACTCAGCTCCTGACCTCATTACAACCTTGGTTCAAACATGGACAAAACAGCTGAATTCCAGAAGTGAGGGGAGAGTGACAGCCCTTGATATCAAGGCTGCATTTGACCAAGTGTAGCATCAAGGATCCCTAGCAAAACTGGAATCAATGGGCATCAGGGGGGCAAACTCTCCAGTGGTTGAAGTCATACCTGACACATAGGAAGATGCTCGTGGTTGTTGGAGATCAGTCATCTCAGCTCCATGACATCTCTGCAGGAGTTCCTCAGTGTCCTCAAACCATCAATCTTGGACTGCTTCATCAATGACCTTCCCTCCATTACAAGGTCAGAAGTGGGGATGTTCATCAATGATTGCACGATGTTCAGTACCATTCATGACACCTCAGATACTGAAGCAGTCTGTGTTCAAATGCAACAAGATCTGGACAATATCCAGCCTTGGGCTGACAAGTGATAAGTGACATTCGCGCCACACAGATGCCAGGCTATGACCATCACCAACAAGAGAGAATCTAATCACCGTCCCTTGTCATTCAACAGTGTTACCATCACTGAATCCCCCACTATCAACATCCTGGGGTTTACCATTGATCAGAAACTTACTGGACTCACCACATAAACACAGTGGCTATGAGAGCAGGCCTGAAGCTAGGAATACTGTGGCATGTAACTCACCTCCTGACTCCTCAAAGCCTGTCCGCCATCAAGTCAGGAGTGTGATGGAACACTCCCCACTTGCCTGGATGAGTGTAGCTCCAACAACACTCAAGAAGCTCGACACCATCCAGGACAAAGCCGTCCAGTTGATTGGCATTACATCCACAAGTATCCACTCCCTCCACCACCGACGCTCAGTAGCAGCAGTGTGCACCATCTACAACATGCACTGCAGGAATTCATCCAAGATCCTCAGATAGTACCTTCCAAACCCACGACCACTTGCATCCAGAAGGACAAGGGGAGCAGACATACGGGAACACCACCAGTTCCACATTCCCCTTCTTGCCACTCACCATTCTGACTTGGAAATATATCACCGTTCCCTCACTGTCACTGGGTCAAAATCCTCTCTAAGGGCAGTGTGGACTGCAGTGGTTCAAGGCGGCAACTCACCACCACCTTGTCAAGGGCAATTATGGATGGGCAAGAAATGCTGGCCAGCCAGCGACGCCCACATCCCACAAATGAATAGAAAAAAATGTTTAGGCTGATGTATTGCTCCTTAAGTAACCTGGGAATAAACATCCTCTAGCTGAGAACCCTTACCCCTCCCCCCAGGTCTTCTCACAAATTGGCCTGTTCTGCACATTCCTCACCCATGCTATATTACAAGGAGAATGCCTATTGGTACACACGTGTTTGGGAGCAACTAGATTGTGTAGAATCCTTGACGTGAGCAAAATGCTCTTCATTCAAAGGCAAAGGTGTGCACTTGCAGACTGTACACCATTCTGTCCATGACTGGCCCTCAAATAGTACCCAAACAATGGACACTACCAAACACAATTTCACTAGTTGTGGCCTTTGTATTATTAGTAGAATACTCCATATTGAAGATTGTTCAGACTTTAGAAACATTATACACCATCATGGAGAAGAGATGTTTTATCATGTACTGATCAGATCCTGCTAATGGATGGCATATTTTGCAACTAGAAAGCAGGTTTTTCTTTTAAAAAATCTTCTAATGGCACAGTTGGAAGGGAACCGCCAGTGGTCCAGATTTTTGTGTGGACTTGGTAGAATTAGAACAGCGCACTTCTGTGTCTTCTGAAATATTCACCTAACCCCCATGTTACGTTGTCCCGAATTTTTCTCTTTTCGCACAGCAGGTTCACAGACTACTTTGCTGGCTGCCAATGAGTGCATGAGAAGACTGGGAGCCAGCACAGTACATAGGGAGCCAGTTAGACAGTTCATCTTGGTTCTCCAATATCGTTCTCCAACATTGTTTAAAGGCCTCCTGAACTTCACCCTCCACCCTCTATGTTACGCCCCCTGAGAGTGTCCATGCCACCTATATGCTACTTTATCCCAATCTACCACTCCATGCCATCATGTGTCCCCTCAGAATCTACATGCCCCGCTTGCATTCTGCAAAGCCATTCACCCAATATGGGTTTTATACAGTCATTGGAAGCCATGCAATCAATGTTGGAATTATCTTAAAATCGTTGGAAAAACATCTCTAAAAATCTAATAAAACCATGAATTCAAACATACTATCATTGCTACCGGAAAGGAAAAATAGCTATTCCAGTGCCAAAATAAAAGAAATTCTATGCAAAGCAAAATACTGAGGATGTTGGGCAAATGAAATAAACGTCATTCATTTAAATACCGATAAGGTTTGCAAATACAAAAATTCACACCCAATTGGTTAGAATAGATTCCTAAGTTTTCAACAGTTTTTGGATCCTGTTGAGTAGAAGCCATATTTAGCTTTTCAAACATTAAAAATGGCTACAGCTGTCACAACGAAAAATTCTAGTTATATGGCCTGAAACTGACAGAACAACGTCCCATTCTGACTTCAAAACAAAGTGTTAATAAATAAAGATAAGTAGAGTTCCAGAGATATTTTTTCAACTTTCAAAAGCAGGGTCTTTTAACATCTAATGTTGTCAGCCAACTTATAGTATAGTATAAACATAACAGTAGCAGTTGGCACGACTTCTGTTTTTAAATTTTAATGCATAATGGAAATTTGACAAAAAGCACTGTCGAGTGCTTTTGACAACTACATAATACTAGTTCATGTACAGTCAACTTAACTTTGCAGGACAGGTCTCTAAAATGAATCACAATTAAAAATATAATAGCTTGCAATATAGCATCTATTAGTGACATCTGAAGGTGTCAAGTTATTAATTGCTTACCTATCAGAATGCTCTTGCCTCCCAGCAAACTTCCCACAGGAAGTGCATGTTTTACTAAAACCTATATAAATTTACATCTAAAAAACCTCCCAAATCGCCCAAAGGCCATACAAAAATGTGTCTTCACTGCAAGACAATGGAAACGTACTCGTCCTGCATTCAAAAAGCTAAGCTCAGCTTTTACGATCCTAGTTGCACCTCTATTAGGCAACAACAATCCAAATCCTAGAGTTAAAACAGGTACCTCCCTGACTGAGAGAACATTACGTTGCCTGTTGACTCCATGCTCTGTTGATATCCACTTACGTGACGCTGCACCTGTTTGCAGAAAAGAATTAGGTGAAGTACCCACCTCACGATCTTTTAGCTTCATGGCCAGCACTAGCTGGAGACGGTGGTTGTTTAGGGCCTCTCGGTAGTTGCCGCTGGAGAAGAATGCCGAACCCAAATTACCATGGGCTCGACACTCGCCCGTATGGTCACCTGAGTAAAAGAAAACAAAACATAACTCTTTTGATCAAGTACAGTAGATTATTTGAACAAAGATTGGATGATTTGAAGAAATAATTGATGAATATTTAACTTGATCAACTTTCACTTCTCAAGCTGCTTAGTTAAGCTGAACTCTACGTAAGAAAATAAGATCAACAATTAATACTTTGAAACTGCTTTTCCCCAGTTTTTGACCTTCATAATTGTAGATGTGGTACCTTTTCAGCTAAGTGATCATCACATTCATTAAAGCAGTCACTTTGGTGAATAATTTAAGAGTTAAGATAGTAATCTATTTGACCATGGATGCACAATTAAGTTGAGCCAACTCTTGTCCTTCTCTATTTACTAACAATATGTATATTGTACCATGCGCTACTGCGTAACTGTAGGTTAAGCTGAAATTTTGGCTCTGTGTGTGTAAATCCCATTATCAGATTGAAAGTACCAATTCAAATAATGTCTGAACTTTCTAATCTGAAGGGAATAAAACCCAAGTTTATGCAATCTGCTCTTATAATTGAACTCATAGGTCTCAGTATCATTCTGTTGAATCTGTGCTGCACTCCTTTCATAGACAAAATATCTTTTCTAAGGTGTACTGTCAGAAGTAAATGAAATATTTTTGTGAAATCTGACCAATGTTCTATACAATTTGAGCATCTCCTCTTTTCCTTTTATTCATTCTCCACTCAGTTAAAAGCTAACATGCCTTTGGGCTTGTTTCTCCAGAGTTTAGAAGCATGAAGGGTGACGTGATGGAAATGCACAAGATCTTGAATGGTCTTGACAAGGTGGACTCATTAGGGAGGTTTATGATGTGGGTGAGAACCAGGGGACACTGTTTTAAAATTAGGAGTTGCCCATTTTGAACAGAAATGAGGGGAAATGTTTTGTCTGAGGGTCATGACATTTTGGAACTCGCTGCCTCAGAAGATGGTGGAAGCAAGGCCATATTTTTAAGGCAGAAGTAGATATTTCCTTGTTGGACAAGAAAATCAAAAGGTAAGTGAAAATGTAGAATTTTAAACATGAACAGATCAGTCACGGCCTCATTGAACAGTGGAACAAGTTCAAGGAAACAACTGGTTTACTTCTGCTGTTATATCATACAACTGTATATACATTTGTCTTGGAAACCCAAATCCCTTTGCTAGAGTTTATAATTCTTACAATTAAATATTTATATTAGCCTTTCTTTGAATCTAAAAGGATAGCCTGACACACACTGAGCTGCGTTTGCCATAGTTTGTCCACTTAATTAATCTGCCTTTGCCTCTATGTTACTCTCTATTCCCATCTACACAACTTATTGTGCCTTATAAGTTAGTGACATCTACAACCATGGATATAAAACTGCAATCCTTCATCAAATGCCCAGATAAAACAGGTCAAAAACTGAGATACTGAGAAGAATGAGAGGAGATCTAATTGAGATATATAAGATGCTAAAGGGGATTGAAACAGTTCACATAGAGAGAACATTTCCTCTTGTTGGACAATCTAGAATGAGAGGCCATAGTTTTAGAGGTAGCAAATTTAAAACAGAGATGAGAAGAAATTACTTCTATCAAAGGGTCATGAATCTGCAGAATTCACTGGTGGACGCCAAGACACTGAACAAGTTTAAGGAGAAGGTAGATAGATTTTTAATTTATAATGGGTTGAAAGTTTATGGGGAGTGGGCAGGAAAGTGGAGGTGAGGCCAAGATGAGATCAGCTGTAATCATACTAAATGGTGGAACAGGCTTGTGGGACTGATTCGCCTACTTCTGATCCTAGTTCTTATGTTCCTCTATCATTGGGGAATACCAGTTGTCTTGCCAATCAAAGCACAATCTCTTTTTCCAAAACCTCCCGTTCAATTAACAGTTAATGTGGAATGCAAGATTGATCATTCTTAGAATGAAATTTAAACTTCCAGCTAATAGCTTAAAAAATAGAACGTCAAGATTTCACATTTTAAGTCTTTTACTGTTACCAAAGACTAAAAGTAATATTTACTAAACACTGTCTTTGCACCGTCATCTGTCAACACTACTTTATACTTTCAGACAGAACATTCACCTTTCTTTTATCCTACAAACAAACACACTTTACAGATATATTTTATATTATCCTTTAAGCAGACATTCAATTCTCCCAGACCCAATCTGAGATGATTCTTAGCTCCTGAGCATTTTCTTTAGTTCTTATAATTTCTTCACCCAAAACATTTAATCTCAGAACTGCCTTTCATAGTAAAGTTTTACTCCTGAAGAATTTTTGCCTCATCACAAGCAAGGTGAATCTTCCAGCTTCATTTTAACTCTTTACGAATTCAGTTTTTTTCAATCTGAACATTAGCTTCTACTGCATTCCTGCATTGTGAACCATAGAGACTTTCAGCCGCTACTTGCTCTCTCTGTCAAGTTATATTAAAATCAATTCTGTCTTCAAAGCCCATCTCTAAGGAAACATGAATCAATGGGATTGTCACCATGTAGAAGTGCTGATTATCATCAAGATCCCAGTTCTTTTACCTTCGCAGTAAGTGCACAGTTTAATGCACAACTGTTTACAGCCCAATATTTGCAACAATTATTGGTACTTCGTCGACTCCTGTCTATCCACTTTTGGCACACAGACAGTTACTATTGTATTCACACATAAACGTCTTACACCTTCTTCCCAGTTGAACAAGTTGAGCACCCTACAATCTCTAACAAATAAATCACTCAGATTTACTGTCAGCCAGCATTCAAAACAAGTCACATACTAACCTTACAAAAATCGTAATTGCATCATAATTCGTGTCACAAGTTTACCTCCAATCGCAGAAGCTGTTACTTTTGCTGATAATAATTTGCATCTTATTCAGTGTCCTCTGGGAGGGCGAAAGGACAACACCCACAGACATTCCTTGATGTACCATTTTAGTGACCACTTCAAAAAAAATCAACTAGACTTATCAGGCATAAGCTACCTTTATAAATCAATGCCAGTTCTGATTTATCGCTAGTGATATATTCTGACAACTTTCTCACAATTGATAGTAAACTGATTAGTCTGTAGTTCCCTGGCTTTTGCTTTCACTCAAGATTCGAGTAAGATTTGCAAATTTCCAATCTAGAGGCATAAACCTTGAACTTTCAGAGCTTTAGATAAATATGACCATCACAACTGTAATTTTCTTCCCTATTACTTTTGATACTTCAGCATAGAAAGCATCAGAAAAGTCTTGAAGGCCTGTCATTTTGCCTATTAGCAGTTTTTAAAAATCACATTAAGTATACTAAGCTCCTCCTCTCAATTTACTTTTAGGTTCTCTTGTGACATTGGTGTTTTTTCTTCCCTTTCTCTACTATGTAAATGAATGCAAAGTGCATGTTTAATAAATCTGCCATCTCCGTACCATCAAGTTTGGTCCCACATCACCCACATTTAATTTAATAACATTTATAAGACTTTCTAATCTCTGATTATTAGAAATTTAGTAGATGCTCCTGGATTTACCAGATGTAATGCTGTTAGTTCATAACAGATTTGAACAGCCTGTTAAGTCTCAAGGGTCAACACTATTTATGATATGTAATTAACCTCGGATTCCTGCAGATCCATTTAATTAGTGCTGTATCATCCATCATTCATTTCAAAAGCATCGCACCTCAAAAGTGTCACCCTTCACTGCTACACATCAAAATCCCCTATGTCTACGGGATAGAAAATAAAAGTTGTCTTGAAATAAGTACTTGTCTGTTTATTTATCAGATGTCTAACTGATGAGATGTGTGCTAATCAAAAAGCAAGAAATAAGTAACAAACCATATATTTTCTCAGCTGTTAATCAAAAACCAATCAGTATCACAGAACTGACCACATAATTCAGATAATATTTTTAGCTGCAAATTTCCTCCTTTGCTTACAAATAAAAACCATTTTGTAATGGACAAATAGAAGAAAAAAAAATTGGTTATTTACCATTACAAATTATTGCAAATGATTTCACAACATGATAATAAAAGGTCATTCAACCATTCAGATACACCTTCTAGTCTTTCTCAAATGTGGCATTCAAACGTTTCCTAATTGATTCCGGGCTTGATGCCTCCACTGTTCTATCGAAAAGACTCTTCCAAATGTTGATCTTAGTGAAATGAAGAATTATTTAACTGTTATACTAGTTTGAACTTGTATTCATTTATCTTGTTATTGAAATTTAATCTATTTTACCTTTTCCATATTCTCAACCATTTTGTAGAAATTTGGAAGATCAATTATCAGATGGTTCCTGTCCAGCCTGAAAAGGCCATGTTTCTCCAGTCTTTTCTTGCAGTGTCAATGCCTGGAATTAAGCTCAAGGTTCTTCTCTGTAGTGGTCCCAGTGGATGAATGTCTCCCTTGTTTCTCAATAATAAAGTAATCACCATGTGATTTGACAAAGACACTGTACTGCTAATCTATATTTAACTGTGTTAACTACATGGATCAGATCACACAACAGCACAGAAACTGACCATTTAGCCCAACTGGGCTAAGTCAGCACTTATACTCCCCATGAGTCTCTCTACGTGAACTTACAAAGCCCCAGACAGCACAAAGACCTAAGCTATTCAAGAGGCAGCTCACCATCACCTGCTCAACAGCAATTAGGGATGGGCAACAAATGCTGGCCTAGCTACTAATACCCATATCCTACTATCTATTCCTTTCTCCTTTACATAGTCACTAGTTACATTCAGAAACTCCAGTTTTTATTACCCTGACAAATGGAATCAGTACATATACTATCAAGCTATTTATTAAGGAGCTCTGTCATGTCAACCCACAGCCTTCCCTTCTTTGGAGAAAAGAATACCATTGTGTTCAGCGTTTTTTGATAAGCACATTCTCTCAGTTCTGATATCATCTCCAAAAATCCCTTTACCCCTTCTCTAAAGCTTCTATATTGTTTTCATAATATTGATACCACAATACTCCAAACAAACCAAAGGTTGATTTGCATCTGACAT